ACTCTCTCTGACGTCATCTTCGCACTCGTTTCTCCATTTAAAAGTATTATAAACATGATTATAAACATGATTACTACATGAGCATTGATCTTTGATCAAATTTACAGTATTGTCCCTAAGGTAAAATTGAACTGACAATGGAGCGTGACATGAAAAACTAGTAAACATTCCTACGTTAAAACTCTTTACAATCTTAAACATATTATCAGATAATAATAAATAGTCAATTACACTACAACCATTTTTATTATTAAAAGTTATTTTACCACTATCTTCACCAAAACGTCCGTTACAGACGCGTAACCCGGAGGATTTACATAATTGTAAAATTCTTTGTCCGAAACTGTTGGGCGCTTTTGTATCCTCGGAATGTCTCTGCACAAAATCTTGTCTATCATTTTCATAATCAATAAATGAGATATTGTCTTGTAAAACTGGATCTAAGAAATCGTTCAATAAATAGTCCGGTTTCAGACCAACACGACCATTTAGGTCTCCTAAAACAGCTACAGTACCAATATTATACAGAGATTCTATTTGTTCTTGCAAAATATCAAATACATCACAATTATATTTACGATAAAACACATTTTTATCTGGAGGCATATATATAGAGCATATGTATAAATCTAAATTATCAGGTGTTATACTTTTATCAATCTTAAACCAAATCATACAATCCACACAACATTTCACAATTTCAATAAATGGGCTAATCCATTTTTTATAAAACACTACTATTCCACCCCCGTTACATTTCTCTCTATATAAACACTTTTTGTCGTAACCTTTTAGATCAAATTCACCAGGGAATTTGACCCAGCACTCATTGAAACACAGAATATCGTATTTCTTTATAATTTTTAAAAATTTTCCATCTTTTAGCTTTCGTATTATTCCTTTCGAAATATTCCAAGAACACACATTTAAACACTCTGATTTCCCGTTTTACTATTACATCTGTTTTGTTTAACATCACACCCCGCTGATCCTTACTCCTTCCACAATTGACCGTTAACAAATAGCTTATCGCCGACAATATATACTTTCTTTTGATTTTTCCGCTGTTGTTTCATTATAGGAATAAGCTTTTTCCGTTTTTCAAGCACAACCTTTGGATAATGGGGGCTTATACCAAAATGTGTTTCCTTTAGGCGATTCGATACACTGCGGACATACTCCCTGTCGGACATATCGCAGAATTTAGCCACGATTGGTCTAGGCTTTGACGCGTTAGTGTTGGGTTTTCCTAATCGGTATGCCTATTCAATTTTAATTTTGTTTCTAGCATTTTCAATGTTAAGAAATTGTTCACAAAAATTAAGCACTGTGTCGACACAGTTTTCACTCATTTGTACCGTTTCACTCTTCTTATCCACTGTCCCCGTTGCACCCCCCTTATTTTCATCATTCGTTTCAACATTATCATACTTTTCATCTAACGCAAAGAACAGAAGGTTTTGTTTTAGATTCTCTGTTTCTATGTCTATCAGTTTGTCTCGAACAAATATTGTGTCTGTTTTTGTCGTCTCAATACCATTGTTGATACAATCTACCCTCTTTTTAAGGGCTATGTGTTCATCTTTCATGTCAGATAAAAATTGTGCACTTTCTTCCAACTTGCTTATTCTGTCTTTGCATTGGAGCATTTCGTTATCAAGCTTATTTTGTTTTGTGTCCATTTTTTCTAAACGGTCTTCAATTTTATCTAGAGTGCTTAGTTTTGTCTCGACTCTTGCCATGCGATGGCAGAGCTCTTTGAAATAAGATTCAATTGCGGGCGGTATGGGTGATGGCGGCATTGGTGTGGTCATCATCGGCGGAGGGTACGACATGTATTGGGGCATACTTTGAAATCCCATATTTGGTGAACTTGTCATTTGTGTGTATTGGGTTCCTTGATTTAGTGAGTTATTCATTGCCATACTTGTATATTGATCGAAACTTGAGTTGTCTTCACTAAGTGTGTTTGAACGTACCTTGTTTTTGTTATTGTTTTCTTTGTTTACGTCCGTACACTGTCTTTTGTTCATTAAACCAGATAGGTCCGATGAGGAAGAATTGTCATACTTGTATTTATGAGCTGTTGAGCGCCGTGGTCGATTTCGCTTTCTCCTGGGCATCACTTACAATGTTTTTATCACAAATTGAGTTCATTTTTCACGCAGGAAACTAACAATAATCCATATTTTTCTTAATATTTTTTCAGCTATTCAAAATTCCTGCCATTTTCACTGACGCATGTTTAGGTTCAGCATATCAAAGAACCCCATATATTCAATTTTTGTTAAAATCAAACAAAGTTTAATTTGGACCCTTTGGACCTTAATGTAGACCAATTTGAAAACTGGACCCAAAATTAAAAATCTAAATACAATGTTAGATTCGGCATAACAAATAAATAAATGTGGTCAAAGATTTTACAAATCTAATGCGCCATACTGTGCAATCAAAGATTACTTCTTGAAATTTTTCAATATTTGAAATTTGAAAAAAAAATAATATTTGAAGAATAATTCTTTTTGATTTCTGAAATCTGAAATGAGAAAAAATTGACCCCCCCCCCCCTTTTTTTCCCCCAAAAAATTCTTTCCCTCAAGATATGGTCATAATCTCAATTCAAATTTCCAATGGAGTTTGCAACCATAATTACCCATTTTAAATTTACCATAGTGCTAACTTAATCTATTTTATAATAGAATTTAAAATATAGTGTCAAATCTTTTATATAGACTTTTTTGTAAAAAAAAAAAGATGCAACATTTGCAGATATTTTTACTGGTCTTCCTTTATAAATATGCATTTCTTTAAACATAATTTAAAAGCAGTGTAAGGGAAGTAACCAAAACGTTGTATTTGGATTACCTCCCTTACACTGTTTAAATTATCTTAATTGTTCATTAACCATTACTTTATACATAATTTAAAAGCAGTGTAAGGGAGGTAATTTCAATGATGTATTTGATTTATCTCCCTTACACTGCTTTAAATAATGTTTTGTACTAAAGTATTTGTCCATTAACCAGGACAACCTTGTTTTTCCCCCTTTTTTGCCCCTAATTCCTAAACGGTTTGAGCTATAACCCTCCAAAGCAAATCTTAACCACCCCTTTGTGGTATGGAAACTTGTAGTACAATTTCAGAGAGATCCATACACCAAATAACCCTCCAAAGCAAATCTTAACCATCCCTTTGTGGTATGGAAACTTGTAGTATAATTTCAGAGAGATCCATACACCGTTCCACAGTTATTGTCTGGAAACTAGAAAATGCTTATTTTTAGCCACTAAGTAATTCTTTAACTGTTGGTACCATAACCCTCAAAATCAATCCCAACCTTCCTTTTGTGGTATTTACCCTTATGGTAAAATTTCAAAGAGATCCATTCACTTAAACTAAAGTTAGAGTGCGAAAACCAATGTGTCTTCGGACGACGACGACGCCGGACGACGACGATGACGACGACGCCAACGTCATACCAATATACGACCGCAAAAAAATTTTGCGGTCGTATAATAAAATCCCTCCCCCAGGAGAAAAAATGATAATGTAGAGGCCTGCTTATTCCTTAACTGTTGGTACCATAACCCCCAAAATCAATCCCAACCTTCCTTTTGTAGTATTGAACCTTATGGTAAAATTTCATAGAGATCCATTAACGTAAACTAAAGTTAGAGTGCGAAAACCAATGTGTCTTCGGACGACGACGACGACGACGACGTCAACGTCATACCAATATACGACCACAAAAATTTTTTGCTGTCTTATAAAAATGCTTCTCAAAATGAATTATAAGTGACTGCCAGTATATTTATACTTATATTTATACAGTATAATGTAGTACAATGGAACATGCGTAAGACAATGTTTTAATCTCTAATTGACCATTTATAAAGTATCTATGCAAGTTTGAAACTAGCTTATGTTAAAATAAATATTAGTTTGAAATATAAAACTTACTTTACAAAACAATTTCAATTATAAATCTAAAAATGTACATGCTGCATGCTTGGGGAAGGTCTAAAAACAGGACAGATAAAACCAGGACAGTTATTTTCGATACGTTTTCATCTGTAACTTTTGATTTACTCAACATATTGTTAAAATTTAAATTGTATAACAAAGAACAGGGTATTTACTTATACTGTTTGTAAAAAAAATAAAATTCATTGTATTCATTTTACCTGTTTTAATTGAAAGCTAACTAACTAATTTTTACCATCAAATACGCAAAAAACATAATACTTTTTCACCAGTTATGTAAATAAAAAGGGATTTCCCTCCATAGCTATTTTTAGTCGGGGAATAACCTAGTATTTTATACGAAACTGTTTATAGCCCCCAAAAACTTTCATAGCAGTTCACGCACGGGTCGGTCTTTTCACCACCGAACACCACCGCACACCACCACCGAACACCCAAAAAGACCACTAACCCTTAAGAAAAACAGTAATGTTACACAATAAAACAATACAATCGATTAAATTACGTAAAATTTAATCCTATTCTCATGTTTTCACATTTTTATGTGCGATGTTAAAGTTGAGAATCAAATTACATTGTCTGTATTTCATTGCATCAGAGACATATAATACAATATATGTCTCTGATTGTATATTATCTTATGGTCTTTACTTTTCAATAATTAGAAATAAATTGTTCGAATAAGTTAAAACATTTTATTCAATGTGAAATTATCATTATAATTATATTTAAAAAATGTTAGATTTGAAAGTGTACTGTTCTGACAACAGCCCTGCAAGACTGTCCTTTTTGGTTCTCTTGTTATCATTTCTTATTACTTTATGTATATATATATATATATATGTATAAACATAATTCATTCTCGTTCAGAAAGTAAGTAAAATATATAAATAAAGATGAAAAGTATATTTAGGTGTGTTAAATGGTATTTTAATGTGTTCGGTGGTGTTTGGCGGTGTGCGGTGGTGTTCGGTGGTGAAAAGACCTACCGGCGCGTTGCATTGTGGGAAGAATTGTTTGCGTCCTTGGTGTCGACATTTAATGAAATTTAGCGACTAGAATTGCGTGTCTGAGTAGAAACATGACGAATAAGGTGTTTTTCTGAGTGACCACCGAATCCCATATGCTAGAAGAAATGAGGATAGACGTGTGTTGGTATCAATTGTGAGAAAAGAAATGTTACTTTAAAAACTTTTAATTTCTATCGATAATGACCTCTAGAGAGTATAATTTATCAGGAATATATATATTGAGATATACTGTTCCCATGTATTATTGAGGAACTAGCGGAAGAATAAACTATTTGAAGAAGGTTAGATAAAGCTTCCTGACCATGTTAAAATAGTAGCTGGGTGGGAGAAAAGCTATATCAGTTTTCCTATGCGTCAGTCGTATATATATGTAAAAGATTATTCACGTATACGTTGATAGTCATAGTGGATCTTCTCATGGATAGAAACACAGGCACTTGCCTGTGGATCATACCACTGCAAACCCGTACATATGTCAACTCGTACCTCTGCTAACATACCTTTTTATTTTTCACTTTATTCGGTTTTGCAAAGTTGCTCATCCTGCCTTTTTTTTTACTCAAAACTCCTGTCCTGCCTTTTTTTCAAATGTCATCCTAGCCCCCTCCCATAAAAATCAAATGGTAGCTCCCTAAAGTCGTACTCGTACCAACTTATATAAATGCACTCAAATTGTGTTAAATGTTGAATATATAATGTCGAATTTAACTAAAAAACTCATAAGTCTGTAAATAATTTGAAAGTCACAATTACCAATATTTGTAGCTGATTGTTCCTTGGCTAAGAGTAAGTTTGTTTGATATGTTTTGTGTTGGAAACAAGACAACTTGCCCCACTTATCAAGAAGGGCTAAATCCCGCTAAATTTAAACAATTTTACCCCATGTCACATTTGCTCTAAAAGATTTAGTTTTTGAGATATAAGCCAAAAACTGCATTTGACCCTTATGTTCTATTTTTAGCCATGGCGGCCATGTTTGTCGATGGATACAAACTTCGGATACAATTTATAAACAAGATACCCTAAGGAACATTTTGTTAAAGTTTGAAGGTAATTGGCCCAGTAGTTTCAGAGGAGAAGATTTTAAAATGTTAGCAAACTTGATGAACAAATTGTGTAACATTGTCTTTAAAGGGCAATAACTCCTTAAAGGGTCAATTGACAATAATGGTCATATTAACTTTTTTGTAGATCTTACTTTGCTGAACATTATTGCTGCTTACAGTTTATATATATCTATAATAATATTCAAAATAATAACAAAAAACTGCAAAATTTTGTTAAAACTACCATTTCGGTGGCAGCAACCCAACAATGAGTTGTTCGATTCGTCTGAAAATTTCAGAGCTGATAGATGTTGACCAATTGAACAATTTTACCCCATGTCAGATTTGCTCTAAAAGCTTTAGTTATGAGATATAAGCCAAAAACTGCATTTGACCCCTATGGTCTATTTTTAGCCATGGCGGCCATGTTTGTCGATGGATCAAAACTTCTGATACAATTTATAAACTAGATACCCTAAGGAACATTTTGTTAAAGTTTGAAGGTATTTGGCCCAGTAGTTTCAGAGGAGAAGATTTTTGAAATAGTTTACGACGACAGATGACGATGACGGACGACGACAGACGCCAAGTGATTGCATAAGCTCACATGGGGCCCTTTGGGCCCGGTGAGCTAAAAAAGAGTAAAATCCCAATGAATCTAGTTCTGCCAACTCGCCCAACTTATGAAAATTCTAGTTTAATCACAATCTCCCCAACTTTACTGCTAAAATAACAATAGAAAAAAAACACTTATTATCAATGATAATACTAATAAAAATAGAAAATTGTAGATTTTTATTGAAATTGAATGATGCTTCATTTCTAAAAATAAAATTGTAGATACATTATTTATTATTCTGTGATTGTAGTTTTAATTTGAGAATAACTTTATTCTTGAAAACTCAGAGGCAGATTTAGAGGGGGGCCCAGGCCCCCCCTTTTCTGGGAAAAATTTGGTTGATTATATAGAGAATCACTGAAGCATGACCCGAGAGGGCCCCCACTTATGAAAATTTCTGGATCCACCACTGAAACTATTTGCAAAATAAGTCCAAAGAAACCAGTTAATTGTATCATAATGCGATCGATATAATATCATAACAATTTTAGGATTCTAATTTAACAGCAATTTGTTCTTATAGCAATTAACGGATTGGTTACTTTTGCCTTGAATAAAAAATAATTAAAAGCTAACGAGCAATCAGTGAAAGACAATTTTTTATGTTACTTTCAAATAAAATGCTTCACTGGGTGCAGCTTGATACGACCGCAGAGGTCGAATCCTGAACAGCTGGGGCAAGTATGGACACAACATTCAAGCTTGATACAGCTCTGAATTTGGATTGTGATTAAATATTTGACACAGCATAGATTTCTGACACAGAAAGAATGTGGTCTAAGAACTTCATTTTTTTAAATTTACCTATTATGGTCCAATGTCCAAAATCAAAATACATGGTTAGATTCAGCATATCAAAGAACCCCATATATTCAATTTTTGTTGAAATCAAACAAAGTTTAATTTTGGACCCCAACTTGGACAAACTTGAAAACTGGGTCCATAATCAAAAATCTAAACACATGTTTAGATTCAGCATATTAAAGAACCCAAAGAATTCAATGTTTGTTAAAATCAAACTAAGTTTAATTTTGGACCCTTTGGACCTTAATGTAGACCAATTTAAAAACGGGACCCAAAATTAAAAATCTAAATACACGGTTAGATTTGGAATATCAAAGAACCCCAATTATTCAATTTTTGATGAAATCAAACAAAGTTTAATTTTGGACCCTTTTGACCTCAATATGAACCAATTTGATAGCGGGGTCCACAAATAAAAAATCTAAATACATGGTTAGATTCAGCATATCAAAGAACCCCATATATTCAATTTTTGTTGAAATCAAAAAAAAGTTTAATTTTGGACCCTTTTGACCTCAATATGAACCAATTTGATAGCGGGGTCCACAAATAAAAAATCTAAATACATGGTTAGATTCAGCATATCAAAGAACCCCATATAATTAATTTTTGTTGAAATAAAAAAAAAGTTTAATTTTGGACCCCAACTTGGACCAACTTGAAAACTGGGCCCATAATCAAAAATCTAAACACATGTTTAGGGGACGACCTTTTGATATTCTGGGGGGGGGGCCAGGAGGATTTGTTTTGGATCGGTTATTTATTTTTGTAAACTAAGAGGACAGATTATCTATTTTCTGCACTATTGAAGCAAAATTTTTCATTTTCATTAAAGCAAGGGACTGATTATTTATTTTCACAACTATATTTATAATATTCGAAAACATACAATTTTTAAATTATTTGTTCATTATAAATAATTCATGTATAGTCAAGTCATTATGTACCATTTAATCAGAATTAATTATTATCCTCTGCAGAAATGAATCTTCTATATTCCCCAATGCATATACACGTATTGCATACATACACAGTATTAAAGTTTGGTTGTAACTAAGGCTGTTTTAAAAGTATTGGCAAACATGTTTCGATGAGCGGAGCGAGGCAAAATTTTTTTTGAAGGGTTTTTGAACCGCTGAAGGCCCAAGAAGCTATAGAACAAATGATGCAAAAACATGCCTTCTGGGTGTTCCCCAGACCCTTTCTTAAACTGAAAATGCAAGTTCTGTTTTAATTATTTTATGACAATATTTTGGTCTCAAAGCAAAATCACGTTATAGATTCAGTGTAATTAGACTTAAGTTTCTAGGAACAACATCAAAAGACAAATATGCATGATAAAGCAAAAATGTAATTCACATAGTTAAGTCTGTGGCTGCTGTGTTTATTTAAACTCATGATCAAGTTAATAATAAAATTACTAAATTACAAAATGAATGCAACACTAACAGAATACAGAAGGGCAATCAATGAACAAAAGACAAATAAATAAGAAACATTGATCCCGAAAAATCAGGGGCTACGTCTGAGGGAGAACAGAACTTGCTTCTTGCAAGGCACTCACGGTGAACACAATTTGAAATTTCCTACATGAGGCATTTGTCTCAATGTAGTTACGGCCCTGATTTAATAAAAGTGAGGCAAGTGTTCCTGAGACAATTAACCTCAAGTTAAATGAAACTAATTTTCTGACATTTCAAGTATATTTAAATAATATTTATACTTTTATTATTAAAAGATATGGGAAGTGTTTCCCGATTTTTTTTTGGAAAAAAGATGAATTTATGAAGAATCTGGTGCCATCTCATACTTTCGATTAGACCTGCTGAGTTATTTATTTTCAATACATTGCAAGTCAGGTAATTTATTTTCAAACTACCACAGAACAAACCATTTATTTTTGTGATTATCAAGGCTGAGTTATTTATTTTCAAAATCCTCTTGGCCCCCCCCCCCCCCCCCCCCCCAGAATATCAAATGGTCGTCCCCTTAGATTCAGCATATCAAAGAACCCAAAGAATTCAATTTTTGTCAAAATCAAACTAAGTTTAATTTTGAACCCTTTGGACCTTAATGTAGACCAATTTAAAAAAATGCTCCGCTGGGGCGCAGCTTGATACGACCGCAGAGGTTGAACCCTGAACAGTTGGGGCAAGTATGGACACAACATTCAAGCTTGGTACAGCACTGAATTTGGATTGTAATTAAATATTTGACACAGCATAGGTTTCTGACACAGAATGAATGTGGTCTAAGAACTTAAAAATTTTTAATTTATCTATTCAAACCATATCATTATTATTTGCTTTTATATATAAATCAGAAATAACCAATTTAAAATTGAAAATTTTGGTCAGGAGATTAGGACTCAGATCAGGAGGTTTTTAATCGACATAAATTCTGTCGTAAATGTAACCGTGTGCTGTAGAAATTGTCTGTTAAAGTGTGTTTTCTTCAACTTTCCATCCGAATGTATTATGTTTATAGTACCCTTGTACTTATAAATTTTCTCTATCTTTTTAAACTTTGAACTTGTTCAATCTAACATTCTTCTTTATTAGTATGTTCTTCAAACTTTTTAGGTCATATCTTTTTTACCATTATTCATTGCAATCAAAACATTTGCTTATCTATCTGCAAGTAGATCTTTCTTTTATATCTATATGCAAGTAGATTTTTTTTTTTTTTATCTTTGTTATGCAAGTAGATTTATAATGCATGATAAGTAGCACATTCAAACAATAATCAAGGGTCATAGTTTATATATAAATTTCAATTTAAGCCTTGAAAGGAAGTATAGACCCCTCAAATA